TTTCTTCTCAGAAAGAAAAAAACTGTCTGATTTTCTTCTCTTAATTTTGTTACCAACGAAGAATAAGCTGTCGTTTTTTAATTTGTTGTAAATGGGATCATATCTTCTTTCAGCTACCGGATTCGTGTCTTAATCCTCGCATGTCGACCGATTCGCCCTCATTCTCCTCATTGTGTCCTCGACTAATTTACTGCATCTCTGCGCGCTGTGTCATAGATAGGTATCTGCATCTACAACACGTAGTCTATTCGCGCACACAGACATACATACACATATGGAACATTTGCGTCACAGGGTGGTATCCTTGGTCATGTTTTCTTTTTCGCAATTCACCGTTTTGAGGAGTAGAAGTTTCTTTCTTGTGATTAATTGTGGTTCTGTTCCTGAGATTTCCAATATTCAATCACAATTCCAAATTTTTGTTTTTGCAACTGTTCATTTATGGACTTTTAACGTCCTTGGCCTCTATGTTGCTACCTATTCATCCATACCGCAGAAGAGAAACATATTTCGTTAGAAAAAGTGACAGCTATATCTACTGCTTCATATAGTCTATCCATAATTCTGCATATTATAGCTACGACCTGACAGCAATCAACCATTCATTTGCGTGAATAAACAGTACGGAATTGACAACGGCAAATGTGTAAATGTTTGCCAAAGCCAAACCCAACCTCACTTCAATCGTTCTCTTGCCTTTTTATTCAGTTCTAGTTATACGTAAACCAACTCGTTCGAATTGCTTGCTTTTTGATGTAGTTCATGGTGTTGAAAATCGCCTTAGAATTGGATCCTGCTATTTGAGCTAGATTCCTCGTTTTTTTTTTCATCGTTCCAGTTCTTCTTGCACCCCATAACATTCTAGCACATTAAATCGACTATTTGTTAGCTGGAACACACATCTTTCTAATTCATTCATTCTCGTACTCCTATTTCTCTACTGCTGCTTTTAACGAATAACCTGCAATCATTCGTTATTGTTTACTTATCTCTCGCGCATAGGCCATAGCTACCAGTATCAGCTGTCGCTAGGAATTACGGCAACATTGACATGAATCCTGAATAATTACGCTGGTCTAGAGTAGCTCCCGGTGGTGCCGGTGTAAGCGCTCTTGCCACTAATCCACCTGCCGCCGATGCGGTTCACTTGGATGCATTGTATGAGTCGCATATGCAAATATCGCTGTCTACACTTCCGCAGAGTCTAAATTAACATTTGCAACATGTATATGAATGTGTACTTTGTCGAGATCAGCTAGGAGATATTTTGATGATTTGCGACTTTTTTGCATATGACAGCAGCAACTAAGAACTTGAAATGCCTGCTTTTATATAGATTTATGTTATTCTGTTTAATCCACTTTTTCACCACAATTCACGTACGTTCTAGTTTTGAAACAAATATTTGATCGATTTAATTTATCAACGCTTTGAAGTGCTACTTGAATATTACTTTCTACTCCCCTTTTTGGAGTGTAGCCTATGAATTCTTTCGACTTTGTCCTAACTCCTTATATTTCGCACAATCAGCTAATTTGGCGTTCTACATTCTTTAACTTTTTCATTCATTCAATTTACTTTTCGTGCATCTCAAGGAATTTTTGGGCAGTTCAGGCTTCATATGTCGATCTTCTATTCACGAGAAGCAAGTGAAACTCCGTTTCGCTTTCGTTACCAGTGGGTCTCGTCGGCTCTAAGATCGTGTAAGCTGAGATAATTTGGATAAAAAATTTTGTTCTATCTTTCAAATGCAGTGTCACTTCATTGCGTGAAAGGAATTCGTTGTTGTAGCAATATCCACTTTCCATGCTTCTCATGCTCTAATTTTTCTATGTAAAATTGCATGAACTTGCTTTTGATGGCGGGCAGTGCGGTCGCATTTCTGACTAAAAGCAAGTTTGGTCAGCGCACCTTAGACTTGTCAATTGTGAAGCGGTGGCCTTGCCGACGAACCTTAGTCCGCATCACGTGGAGGTGCTTAC